GGGGGGGGGGGGGGGGGGGGGGGGGGGAAGCCGCTAATTAAGGCGCGGTACCCGTCGAATCTAATTTAACTAAAGTTCTCCAGTGTAAACCACGTGTCAAACCGCTACGAGAACCGCTCGGGAGAACTTCCTCCTGGGCGAATGACGCGGAGGATGAGCCCGGCGGTGGACGAAGAGGAACGAATCTTTGACAGAGTGTCATCCCGTATGTCTCTCTGGCGAGCGCACGACTACACGCCGGCGTATATGTGTAGTTCAAAGGGAGCCGGCGAAATTAGCGCCCTTAGAACCGAGCCAGATTAGAAGAGCGGCTGAGCGAGCGACCAAGACGATCGGATATTGGTCGTCCGCGCGATTTAGACGAACGTAGAGCCGGGTGGAACTTGGCGCGACGCCAGAACATCATCTTTGCGAGGGCTACGCCGAAATAAAAGCTGGTAAATGGAGGAAATTTAAATTGACCGTCCGAAAGAGGTCAGCCGTTAATGGCTATCGTCGAAATTGAGAATGATCACATTGTGCCGTACGCCGTAATATACACACGGCAAGAAACGGATCGATTGTCTCGACGAATTTACGGTCTGCTGGACGAGATTTTAGCGTCGCAATTATGCGCGGATTTGTACGCGGATTTGTCCACGCAGCAAGGAAATTACATATGGGGACAATTGTGACGGTACTTGTATATGTACAGAGAGAGAGAGAGAGAGAGAGAGAGAGAGAGGAGAAGAGCTCTTGGTAGTACAAATAATTACTGTAGGATTACGTGACTGAGGAATAAATCGACATTCCGCAGTAACTGACGATTCTTTTACATTTTATGTGTGTTATTTATACGAGTTTGTGGAGTTGGCGATTACTTATGCTGCTTTTTAACAGATTTCAAAATTAAGCAAGCAGGAGGATTTCAAAGTCATCTGTTTAAAAATCTTGCTTGCCTAATTCTATAACTTGTTAAAAAATAGCAGAAATAATCGGTTTTACCAACTCACTCCGGTAGCTCCGGTTTTCTCTACTGACATGTAACGCAAGAACGACGCTCGACCATTTCGAAATGGAACGTGCCGCCTAAGATCACAAATGAAGTTGACGTTTCTCGACTATTAGACTAGACAATGAGCGGTATGGTGTGTTATCATCAAGAATTCGATGAGATCGAATGATTTCACGTCCAATTAATCTATTCGAGTGACGCGGTAGAGTCGACGAGAGTGATATAATTAGCTTTAATTTCCGCCGATTTGGTTACTAATGGACAATTATTTATGCTTATGCCGGTTAATGATACTGTTATTGATAATTATATAGCGGATAAACGTTATATCCGCCAGATTCGAATGCTAAACAAGCTGCTCTACGCCGGGCGGCAATGCCCGATAGTGTTCGCAGCGGAAACGATAATAACAGTAACAATAACAATATAAAACGCATTAAACGCATTGCGCGTCAAGGAGAGAGAAGCATCTAGACAGACTTACCCTTGTAGTAAAAGAGGCAGTACTCCGAGAGCACGAACCAGCGTTTCTTCCAGAGCATGAGACCCTCCGAGCCCTGTTTATGCAACCAGCCCTGCAGTGCAACGGGGGCGGAGAGGGGCCTTTTCGCGGCGGGCGAGCGCAGCCCTTGAGGGCCGCTCCGTCTACGCACCCCCGACACAGAAGCCGCCACTCCCGAGCCATCGTGCTTACTACGTACCTGGAGGGGTACGGGCGGCGTGGGCGACTGGACAACCTGCAAGACAAAAAAACATACCTTTTCATCGCGACTCAAATTTTACGACTGACGACTCCTTTTTAGTTGGAACCTCCCACTGATCCCGAAAGAACCCGAGGAGTCTTAGAGATAAAGAGATTAATGTCGACAAAGACAATTTTGCTTGAGATGCTTCTTGGGATTCTCTCAGATTCAATTACTTTCGAATTCAATTGGAAGGTTCACTTTAAATTTCGCACATCTGGCTAACACTGATCTGACTGACAAGAAATGTTGGACACAAAAGTTGCACAATCATGCAGGAGGACCGCGTCTCGCCAATGTTCGTTGAGAGAAACATGACGATTTGTCCGCAGAAGAGACGGACGCTGCTTTAATATATCCGCCAGACGTTTGTATAATTCGAAGCGAACGTAATGTGTAATTTAGACAGCAGCGACATTCGAACGACGTGACGTATGAGAAGATAGTAATATCTTTTATTACGCGGAGCACCACGAAATATATTTCGTTCGCGTCGTTCACGTGATTCAAATGACAAACGCGCGTCACGCGACGCGCGACGTTGTGGCGGAGGTATAAAAAAAATGATTTTAAATATCCGCTAGTCGGAACGGCGATAAAACAATCCCGTGAGAGGGAAGGGAGAGAGAGAGAGAGAGAGAGAGAGTGCGATCGGAAACCAGATGCGATAAATCCTCGGTGAAATTCGAAATCGTTCCTTCGTGGTCGCGGTCAGCGACCGAGATCTCGACGCCCCTTTATACTCGTCGCACCTTCGCGGACGACGAGTTCGAAAATCCGCTTTTCCGCTTTCCCGACGACGACGCGTCGCATTATCGCGGCAGCTCGCCCGCTGACTGGTCGGCGAAAATTTCACCGCGCCGGAACGCGAAACGTCTATCCGATAATGAAAAGCCGCGCGGGTAACGCGCGAGGGAAGGAAAAAGGAGAAAAAAATCCACTGACGCGAACGACGACAGCCCCGATCGTCATTCGCGCGCGAAATTCATTCGATCCCATCGATCTTTCTCGTCGCGTCACGCGCGCTTCACGGACGGAGCGGCGGGAGGCGAGGAGAAGCTCCATAGTTGACATTCGGTGAATAAAAGGATCGTTAAATAACTAATTGCTCGACAAACGTGTGAGACGGATGCTCAAATACATCCCCGTCGATGACGTGCTCTCTCCCCCCCTCTCTCTCTCTCTTTCCCTCCCACTCTCTCATTCTCCGAAGCGAAGTCCGGTCGGATTTAATCCTGACAATAGAGAGATTCGGTTTATCATGCAGCTCGCTATCGATTCTTCCCGTTTGTCCATTTAATTTAAAAATACATGCGCAAAAGAGCGACATATCGGCTCCGGTACAAAAGACCTGAGGATCAGGCTCGCTTGTTTAAGGGAAAAATGGAAGAGGGTAAGAGATTTAGAGTTGGAGAGGAAAAGAGAAAGAGAGAGAGAGGAACGCTTGAAACTTCAACTCTGACGTGGAGATGAATAATTTTCGCCCTTTTCTGTCTCGCCCGTTCCCAGTTGGTTTCCCCTTTTTCCCCGAAATTTTCCGAGACGTCTCTCGGCCACGGATGTAGAGTACTACACCGGCGAGAAGTAGTTTACGCACGCGACGTTTCGTACGTGAAACGTCACGTGCGATGACAAGATGTTAGCCCGCGCAGCGGGGATAGGGAGAGGTTAATGCGATGTTAACGTACGAGAAAATTTTGAGAGAGGAGAGAGAGAGAGAGAGAGAGAGAGAGAGAGAGAGAGAGAGAGCGCTGAGAAAATCGATACACCGCGTCGTCTCTCCCGTAATTCCGTCTGCCGTGTTCCTTCGCGCGTTATCGAAGTCTACGTGCGATACGTGATAACGATAGGTCCCGGAGGGAAGACGAGGACGCGAGGTTTATCGCCGAGCTCGTCGAGCAATCCTGAGAACGCGACACGTGCCGTCGTCCCGTCGATCCGCGTCGATTCGTGTCCATATATCGCAGCTCGGAATACACCCCGCCTGGGTCCGCCACGCTTAACGGCGGATCGTACCTTTTCCGGAGAGATGGCCCATCAACACGAGACTCGCGGGTGCGTTTTTATCTAAAAGGGCGTAGAGAGAGTGCTTCCGTTGTCCGGGTTTTCCTCGATACGACGGCGCGCCGTCGTTTCCCGGAGCTCTTGGAAACGCCGATAACATGCGCGTTGTATTTTTACAACGAGCATACAAAGGCACCACGTCTTTGAGAGTGTGAGAGAGTGAGAGAGACAGAGGAAGAGAAAGAGAGAGAGGGAAACCCGCGCACAGTTCGTGTGTTACACGATCGAATATGCAATGTTAGCGAGCGTATCCGCGGCTGGAATATACGCCGGCAGGCCATAACGAGAGCTGCGCGAGATACGTCGTCGTTGCGGATTGACAAATATTTGCCTCTGAAAATCATAACGTTACGGGGAACGATTTTCCGCGGAAACTCCGTTCGGTAAAGTCGTCGTGGCTCGATACGGCGAGGAGTCTCGCAAGGGGCAATGACGCAGCGGAGAGAAATCCCGGGGCACCCCCCGTCTCTCACATTCCGGCGCAGCTTTCCCGACGAGACCTTTCGTCCCTTTGCCACTCGAGCTCTCGAAAGATACACGTCGAATTGCACGCACACGTAATAATGCGCACACGTTGTCGTGAGAAAATCCCGCGCGAACATCGGCTCGATCGCCTGACGTTCCTCCGAGATCTCGCGATTCACCCCCGAGAGGCGGGAAGAAGAGAAAAGAAACGCGAGGGAAAACCGCGCGAAGGATGCGACGCGGGGAAACATTGGCTGCATTCCGCAAAGAAAGCATCCTCGCAACTGTCGCGAAATTGCGAATCTGATTGGTGTATGCTCTTAGTTGGGATTAAGAACATATATATCCTCGGTTGCCGAGGAGTTTATATATTTTTTGTATATTTTTTTTGTATTTTTTTTTTAGGAGTTTTGTATATTTTTTACCAAATAAAGTTGCAATTCCTCAAGTTGTCAGAATTGGAAGCCACTGCAGACATGCGCGCGCAGTAATCGCTCATAAATACATAAAAATTACTTCTCAAAATAACGTTCTTTTAATTTAATATGATTTAAAATTCCTAATTCCAAATTTCACACGCTGAGAGAAAAATGTGGAAATTTATTTATGGGATATAAAGTTTATTCGCAGAAATAAACTTTATATCTCGCAAAATGAAGAGAGCGGTTAAATTCTCATAAGTTTCTAGCCCCATTTCGTGGCATATTCGATATTTTGAATTATTTTATTAATAAAGAGTTTTATCTCACTTCTTGCAACGTTTCTTACACGTTTTCTATAAGTATCCTAACGATTCTATTTATTTCAACAATATTTTTTGAACCATTTTTTTCCCTCAAATGGTGAAGCGTATCATTTTGACACTTATACACATGTAATCTACTCATAAATTTTATCAAAAAACAAATAAAAATTTCGAATTCCGCTAAACTTGCATGTGTTTGGCCGCACTCTCTCCAAATATTCTTCCTCAGAGCAAATGTCACACTCTGTACTGCCATTCCGATTTCTGTCACAACCGCCCATTTCTGTACCACTTCGCGTACATGTCAGTAGTGGCTTCCAATTTCGCTAACTTGAAGCGCTGCAGCGTCAAGTTACCAATCAGATTCACGAATTTTGCAACAGTTACGAAGCAGCTTTCCCCGCTGAACGCAGCGATTAGCGCACACAGGTGCGCGTTTCCGGCTCGTCGGCCGCGAAATCTCGCTCGCGCGAAATTTTCCTGATACGAGCCTTCGTCATGTCTAAAAAAGCCTGGACACGGAAGAGGAGTTACCCGAGTAATCTGTTAAATTGCACGGACCCGCGCTACGGTCACGGCGACGGAAGCGGGTGGGTGCGCGTTCGCCCGACCGAGAAGAGACGAAACTCCGTCAGTGCGCGCGCGAGTTCCTTCTCACTGATCCCGTGAAGAAAACTTGCTTCCCGCGGAACGGGAAAAGCGGTCGAACTTTAACGGTTGGTGCCGCTCTTTCTTGACCTTTTCCTCTCCTCCCTCTCTCTCTCTCTCTCTCTCTCTCTCTCTCTCTCTCTCTCTACTCTATTCTACTCTACTCTCCCCCTGTATCTCTTCGTCACTCCTGTTCCCGCGCAGCGTTCCATTAAATCACGGCCACCGCTGTGATTCGTATCGCTCGCCATTACAACGAACAAGGTAATCGTCAGGGCGCTAATTCGAGCGATGCTTCCTAATTGGGACGGCACAACGCGGCGAGGTTTCGCGCGCTCACCTCTGCCGTTCTCACTCGCACAGCAGTAGCAGCAACCGCCCAGGCCTGCATACGACTCATTAAACATCGCGGTTACGAACAGTAGGTAATAATCGATCGCGGGAACGACCGTTAATTACGATCCGTGTGCGCCGCGACAATTTGGCTCCGCAGCCACCCTCCCTCGTCGCGGTTTCGTCGTGATTCAGTTAGTTCTCCTTTCCCGCCCGGTAAGATTGATTCTATTGCGACGAGTGTCTCGAGATACGAGGGCGGTATCGGGAATGGTGTATATCCGAGAGAGGATTATCGCGCACGTCGAGTAAATAACACGCGGGGCTCGGGGAGCAACGTGTCACATTTGTAACGTCGTCAGCGTCACAAGTTACCTCTGCTCGGTAACAATTTGGCGTTATTTCGTTTCTTTTATTTGTTTCAAATGAGAGTAACACAATATATTATGCACGCGTTGCGTAACGGGATGATGTAGATAATAGTCACGATGCGGTACGCGTTACTTTTCCGTCACTTTGTACACATATCGCTATTTTGGATTTTTATATTCTGCATGTATTATGTATGAGATGGACGACAATGGAACGCAGAGGGTCTTTAAAACTTGGCGATAAAAGTAAGGGAAATTGCAATGTTTCGTTATTTTTTCAGGTAGTGATAACGGTGCAACGAGTTATTTCTTAAAATGATCTACGGTGAAGGTAGAGTAAGAGAAGAGAGTCACTTTTCTCAATTTTTTCTTTTTATTTAAGTGGTACGGTAATGAGTTGCACGCTTTTGAAAAGTAACTTTCTCAGCCCGTTTATGATATACACGTGCATATTCATATTAATTTTCGTAATTTTATTTTGATGATGCAAATCTCTCTTTCTCTTTCTCGACTAATCCGTAACGTACTGAGAGAAAAATATTTGGAATATGTAATCACAAGGAGAAGAAATCATTATAAATTATGGTCAAAAGAAAACTATGTTTTTATCAAGTTCTACTGTAACGTTAGTGATAGTAGCCTTGTATGCATGTTCTTACTATCACTACATAAAAAATATGGTCGGGGCCAATAAAAATAACTGTAATTTTAGTTAAATCAACTATTCCTTTCTCTCAGTGCGTATGAAAGGCGCGTGATTTACCTTCTTGTTGTCCATCCCGGGCGTCGAGTTGGTCACCGGCTGGTCGAGCCTGCAACAGAAAAGAGAAAATAATTTTAGAACGTCTCGGTGTACTTCCTGTAATTGCATTCGCATCGTTTCAACGTCGTTACGCTCATCAAGGCCCGATACGGTCCTCGCGCAAATCTCGTCCGTCATTTTTCCACGTTTTTCGTTACTTCGTAATACCGTAGTTGTCGTTGCTACGCTCCATCCTCCGCGCGCATCCGCTTTTAAAAATAATCGTCTTAATGCCTGCCGAGTCGATCGTCACTTTTTCCGCTCCCGCGACTCGCAGACGAATCTCGAGCCGGATATTCTCGGACAATACTCTACGCCCGACAAGGCTATGCCTCGGCGTTTTGGCACGAAAGCATCGAAAATTTATCGGTCACTCCGACGAAAAGACCGATCGATATCGCCGCGGCGGAAGGGGGGAAAAAGGAGGAATCTGAAATGAAAGTTTCATTCGACGAGCCTTCGTCCTCCCCCCCTTCTTCCCCCTCCTCCTCCCGGGGGAAGTCAATTTACCCAGAGGTGATCGGATATTGGAATAATATCTCGTGCCGCATAAAATGCGTGCCCCTTCTTGGGGAAATCGACTGACTCTCTTCACGATTAATTAATACTATTATTCCCGAAATGTTGCTCCTCCGTGTACACAATGCCGACTGAGAATTCACTCGTTTGCATTTTTTCTTAAATGCTTTTTGACAAATTTTTCAAATCCTTTTTTCTCTTTTTTTTTTTAAGTCTCCCTTAACTATCGCAGCTGCGTGGACTCGTTGCAGGGAACGCACTCCCGGTTTCAACGGCATTTGGCGTGCCAGAACGTTGAGAGGATAAACAAACTACGCGAAATACCCTTCTGTATTGTGCCGTGCAGTCGCGAAGCTAAACGGATCCGCGCAAAGCGCATAACGCGGGTTTCATTACTCGCGAGTAAGGTTACCACAGATAGGGTCTGTCGAAAAAAGGTATATTGGGCATGGAAAAAATGTCATCCAAATTTCGAGGAGCAAAAACGTAATCGCTAGCGGGGACACGGGCTCAATAACGTGAGACAAATTTGTCACGTATGATTTTCATCGGCTCGTCGCAACATCCTGGCGTCTTACGTCTGCCTGTTATAAAACAGTTTTGATTGTCTCACGCGCTGTCATAAGACAGTTTTGATTAACTCGCCATGTTTTGTTAAATTCCACACAGTATCTAATCACAGTACTCCTATCACAGTAAGTTAGATGAAGTAGATTGGGTTAGGTTAAGGAAACGTAGAGAAAGATGAATCTTGAGAATATGTCCCTCTCTCTCTCTCTCTCTCTCTCGTAGGATTTGACAAAATTGCAGTTATGACCAGACTGATTGAAAGGTCTCTATCCTACTCGCGAGCCGGAAAACGCGTCGCCGGGGTTGCGCGATGTGACGCGCAGGAGGGTAGTTCGGAAAGTCGCCCCTCGGTTTGATGCTAGGATCGATTTATCGTGTACCAACGATTTTATTCCGAAGCAAACACGTAGACCCCGATATAGGTTCTCGTCCATATCGCGAACGACGCACGTGACCGCGAGATGATGCACGCACGCACGCACGCAACACGCGTGCGCGTGGCTCGCGATGAAAATTCGATGCGACGCGATTTCCATAACCGTACGGGGTCGGTCGGTCGGTCGGTCGGTCGGTCGGTCGGCCGGCCGGCATTAAAACTGGAATCTTTTCACAGCGTGATTTATCGTCAGGTCGAAAATCGTAACGTGTGTAAAACAAAAAAGGGAAGAAATATAGCTGCCGTTGCGACACCGTTGCTAAATTTCCAACTCGTTCCTGAACGCCAACGATCGAAACGTGGATAATCTCTTCCCGAGGAGCTCTACGTCCGAACCGTCGTCGTCGTTGTCATCAAAGAGTAATAAGCGTTTATCTGGTGTCGTGCCAAGTATTCACTATTAAATGACGATCGATGCACGAATATCGCCTCGCTCATGTCCACTTTGGGTGATCTATGATTCACCATGTAATTTAGGACGAACTACTTAGCCGTAATTATGCAAGAATGGCCCAACCCACATGAAATATATTTCGAGGAGAATGGAGGTGCAAATTTTTTATACATGACTTAAAAAATATAGATAGCATGGAGCTTCCTCGCAATCGTTCAGGAAATTAAACATGGTCCATCTTCTTCTTTTTAAGAGTATTCATTGACAAGCTCGTCCCTTAAAAAAAATAGGTAAAAAATGCAGCTAGTAAAACATGTTTTCTAATTAATCTAAAGTTTGGATCTTTCCTGCTTTATGTGGAAAGATACATGAACTATCCATTGGTAACCAAAACATTATAGCTAGGTTGAATCATGACTATGGCCATTTGTGACTTTGTGCGCCGTATAATATTGCCTCAAGATTCTCTACTGGTGGCTTACGAATCCGACGGTATCTGCAAGCTTACCCAGACAGCGCAAAACGTCCCAGAATTATCCAGAGTATGTCCAGCATGTCTTGGGGAATGCTTTAAGACGTCCTGAATACATTCATGATAATCTCAAGACGTTTTGTACTATCTGAGCAGACAAATATCGTCTTACTGCCGAGAAAAGCGATTACTTCACTTACGTTCCTTCTTTCAAGTGCTCGTACTTGGAGTCCAAAACAATAAGAATATCGGATTAAGTATCTTTGTCTTAATGTGGGAAACATCTCGGCGTTTTATGCGCCCCCTCCGTCAGACGTTCTCTTATAAATAGAACATTCATATCGAGTTCTATCGCGAGCTGTAGATCGCCCAACGTAGAACTCCACTTGCGAAGAACGTTCGGCATTTTCTCTCCCGACACTTCCGCCGACACATACCTTCGATTATCACGCCGAGCTTCCCTCTTCGTCCACTCGCTACGAACGATATTATAATCGCGTGACCGACGACGACGTCAGTTCGACGTCGGGGCCGTGTAATCGAGTCGCCGATCGTCGATTCGCTTTCGCCGGGTCGTGAGAGAGAGAGAGAGAGAGAGAGAGAGAGAGAGAGAGAGAGAGAGAGCTACGGCTTGCCGAAACCGCAGATTCAATCGACGGCAGTTCCCCCGTCCGTTTCCCAGGTCGTGACGTCGAAACGCTCAACTTCCTTGCTCGACATCAGCCCAATCGCGCTTACCTGAGCGATAAGATAATCCGCTGTAACGGAACACACCCTGAGCACCCTGCGTCGATGACGCGCACCGACGTCGCGGGATGATTAATGCCGTTAACGCCGTGCCCCATCCGCAATGGCGGCGACAGAATATAGCATATAAATGAAATTCTAGACACGCTCCGCCGCGTGGCTCGCGTCTCTCGATCCGCTCGCAATCCGCAGCCGCACGCGGTCTTAATGACTGCCCTTAATTGGCACAAAATTGCTGCTCCAGTGACTGGTCCGGGGGGTTCGAGATAGAAGGAGAACGCGGTGAGGGAGATACGGAGGAGAGAGCAGAGAGAGAGAGAGAGAGAGGAGGGCACCGCCGTTACTCTCGAGTTCACGGCGTAATTAAAAACCAATGTACTAAACCGCATCCGCGCCCCTCTAATGGAGTTGTTTCCATCTCGGGAATCGTCGCGTCGTTACTTCGCGTCGCGCGCTCGCTCGCAAATCCGAGTCTTTATGAAAGGTGGCGTTATTGATTCCTTTTTCTATTTCTCTCTTTCTCCCTCTCTTTCTCTGTCAACTCTTTTTTAATGATTGCGATAATCTCCTATGTTGCGAATGGCGCTGTAAAGTCGAGATAAAATACGAAGCAGACTATGAAGCGTGCCGTAAAATCGCAATGTCCGTGTGCGTGCGCGCGCACGATAAATCCGTTTTATTCTGAAGGAAAATCTGGCGATGCCACTCGCGACATTTCCAAACGTTAATCGTTCGCGAGAAGCGCAGTTGGAGAGACAGAACGTCCGTCTAAGATAAACGCCTATATAATAATAGGACGTCTAACAACACATTTATATCAGTTTATTGTTTTAATAAAGGACATACAAATCTATTTCTATTTTATTGGCAAAAGCGAGAGCAAAGCTCTCTTGGGAGTTCCTTAAAAGCGCTCACGGAAGCCGTTGAAATTACTATTATATCGCACTCTCATATAGTCATAACAGTCACGAGACAGTCGTGTGACATATCGCGACGCGGCCGACTACGTGTACGTTTAAAATTCGCGGAGACTCGCGTAATTTTGTTCGCGTTGCGACAAGAGCGGCGCGACGTTGACACCACCAACCGATCGTCGGGAAGTGGTACGTTCTACGAGCGACGCGCAAAGTAATGCGGAGTTTAGACACCGCGACGGGCGAACATGGATACCGCGCGCTGACGGAAACAAGCGGTCGCTAGCTGCGTCGCAAATGCACTCGGAATGCACCCGTTACTTTAGCGCCGAAATTGGGTCGCGGCGATGCGGCGCGATGCGCCACGATATCGCCCTTTGATGTAGCTCGACGTGTACACTCATTTACTCGCGGCGCGTGCTGAATGCACGACGTACGACGCGCGTCGTCGCCATGCGACCGTATCAACAAGCAATGATCTTTTCAAGTAAGAAAATACTCCTTCCCTAGCCCCAGAGATAGCAAGAGGCCGGGCACCGTCGACTGTCGCTCCACTTATTCCGTTTTCCTCTCTCTTTTTTCTATTTTTCTCAGCTTGAAAAAGGAAACACTAAAAAATACAGTATTTACCAAGGGAAATCGATTAAAGTCGCCAAGTAGTTGATTCAATAAACTTCCTTCTTCGAGTAAAATATAATTCTTCTGCAACGGTGTGTATTCTTCGTATTCTACTTCAATGACCAACCAATTTTCCTTCACTTTCCACCGCTATCTATTAATTACTCTCAGATGGCGAACGTACGAAATTGTAGAACTGCAAGAGCAGCGAATTCACTTATCGAGTGTCATGTCCGATTGCTCCACCTTCGTGACTTTGGTGTTTCAGTCTCCATGTGGACAGATCAAATTTTCCCGCCAATTTAAGCTGATCCTCTTTCTTCTTTCTTTCTTCGAGCGA